AAAAAAAAAAAAAAAAAAAAGAGTCGAATCCCCAGTGGAGGCCTTGACTGACAGTTTTCCAGGGCCCTTGTCCTTCAAAATGGGTCAAAAGACCATTTGAAAATAGTATCTTCCTTTCATTTCCCAGGCCTCAGGTCTTACCAGCAAGGGCCGCAGAGGCCACATGGCTTACTCCAGTGTTGCTCAAAGTGTGGCCCCTGGGCTGGCGTCCATGCGAGATGGGTCTGATACTGGTTTACACCGAGGTAAGGACGAGACAGAGTCAGTGCTTACTAAACAACTTGTCAGTGCTGTAGCAGCCAAGGGTGTGATCCGTAGGCTTGCATTTTGCATGAGTTTTTCATTTAATTTTTCTAAGAATTATTTGCTTTAATTGCATTTTATAAAAGTATTGGTCTGTGATGTACAGGAAATAAAACCAGCCGGCCCTTCTCCACAGCTAGCTTCAGCAGCACTGGATTAGGCAGCTGGTGGCTTCGGAGGAGTCACAGGGGACTTCTGGCTTTCTACTTCAGCACTGGCCTGGTTCCCAGTGGGGCCCCTGTCCCGGGATCTGGCTGGCCTGGGGCGCCACCGTACCTGAATTGAGTACATGATGATTTTAAAGCAACGGATGGCGAACACCTTGGGCTCCCAAAGAGAATGGTTATCCAGATGGCTGCGAGGGAGAGAACGTGGGGGAACAACTATGAAACTCCTGGTGATGTTAGGGAGAAGAGATTAGCTTGGAGGGAGAGGGACGCCTCCTCAGAGCCCCTCGCACAGTTCACAGGTGAGGAAGTGAAGCCTGAAGGGCCTTGGGGCAGTCCCAACCCAGCGCTGGAGAGAGGCCAAGGACAGCGCTCTGCAGCTGTGGATGTGTGCAGTGAAGCTGGGCACCTTCGTTTAGCATTGGGTGCCTTCCCACCGGCAGCCTTTGGCCACCCCATGGCAGCTTCTGCTGTCACAATGCAGGGAACACAGGCACAGGGAAGGGACCAACTTGGCTGTGGCGCCACAACTGTAACATCCCCTTCCTCCCAGCCAGCCAGGAGATGCCAGGGACCTGAAACATGTCCAGGCTGAAGGCTGGGCCAAGGTGGTGGGGTGCGGGTACTCACATGAGAACAGGTTTGATGGCATTTTTGATGTTGCCAAAGGCAGCCCGGCCCAGCAGCTCCCGAAGGCACCTCTCAGCCAGCTCCGCAGGGCTCTCTTTCTCCTTCTCAGGTGCTTGGAGGGGTGAGGGAGACCGGCTGGGAAGACAGAGGCATGTGGGTAGAGGGTGGCATGCAGGCTGGGCTCTGTGCAGTCCTGGCTCTCCGTGCCTCATCCATGCAGGACAAGCAGGAGTCTGACATAGGTCATGCTAAGCAATAGGGGAGGTGTCACAGCTGTCAGAGATTAAACAGGGGTAAAGAAGCCCCCCACTGTGGGGAGTGAAGGAAGACTGGGGAAGAAGAGATAAAGTTCCTTTTCTGGAAATCCTTAAAGATTTCCAGATGTGCCCCTGTGGGAAGGATGCTCTGAGCCCCAGGGGCCAGGCGAGGCGTAGAACATGTGTGTCTTGATGCACCTAAGGCTTCAGCCAAGGAAAAGGAGACGGGAGATGAAGACAGGGAAGGGGGGCAAAAAACAAAAATGGAAGAAAGGAGAGGAAAGAGAGGGAGGGAAAAGGAAAGGCTCAGTGGTTGGCTCAGGCAAGACTCAGTGATACCCAGGTTACAGGGAGTGAGCCCATATCTGGACCAGAAGAGGAGCCCGAGGACTCCCAGCTCAGAGACCACAGCAGCTTGTCAGTGAGATGCTATTCTAGAAATGGCCACCAGAGGACACACGTACCCCCTTACCCCCACCCCAGTCTCTAGCAGCCTGGGCTCAACCGACCTAACCAGCCTAGGGCACAGGTAGCCCAGGTGGGACAGCAACGTGGACCTTCCTCCCCATTCCTTTTTACAGAGGGGAAAAATGAGGGGACAGGGACAGTAATGAATCCCATGCTTAGGGGGGCTAGGATTAAAACCCAGAATCTGCAAGCTCTTGCTAAGTGGCTGCGGGCTGGTCAAGCATGCACGTTTGCAGGGCCAGAAATAGCATCAGGAAGCAACAGAGGAAGGAAGGTCCAGATGGAAAGTCCACAGTGATCAGAGCCACGAAAGGCATCTTAAAACCTCCTTGGCCCTGCATTCAGGGAGACAAAAGGCAACCAGACTCTTGGTTCTGTGTGTTATTACTAACCGACTTACCCCCAGGGAGCCCAGCACCACCACGTCCTTCCTTTGGTAACACAGACATTAGAGGAACTGCGGGCTGGCACAAAGCCAGACCCATGGCTGTAGGGAGCCAGCTTTGGACTCACTGCAGAGCAAGCTACAATGCCACAGTTCCTGGCCTTGCAGCTGGGTTTCACTGACCAACCCAAACCATGTGGTTCCCAAGTAGCCCTTGGAGGGCTGGCCATATCCACTGACCCACTCCCCCGCCGCCCGCTTACCTCTCTGCCTCCTCTACGTGCTGCAGATTGAAAAGCAGTGATGGAACGATCTTGTCCATGTGCTGTGGGTCCCAGATATTGGCCTGCAGTTCATCATTCACCGTCTTCCTCACCACCCCTTGCAGGCCTTTGATTCCTGACATTCGAATTCTGTAAGGAAAAGGGTGAAATGGGACTTGGAAGTCCTCAAGCCCTGAGAAGTCCAGCTTATTGGCTGAGAGAGCAGCACAGCTTGGGAGTTAAGGATACATTTGTCCATCAGAAGGCAGAATGGAGACCACCTGCTACTCTCATGGACCTCCTGGCGCTGGCAGACATGAGCCCAGGAAGCCATGTCTTCTGACTCATCCTGGAGACTCCAGGCTGCCCTTGCCCTAGTACCACCCAGGCTCCAGCCCTAGGGTGCTGGGTGCTCCAGCTCCCCGTGTTTAGTACTCAGCTGGGGTTGTTCCAGCTTGGGCCCAAGATATGAGAGCTTAAAATGCTGCCAAGAACTGATGAGGCAGAATCGAAGGCTGTGAGCAACTTGTGGAGGCTGGGGGAGGCGGATCTGGAGGGAGAGGCACAGAGCAGCAGGCTCTCTGGGCACAGAAGGTTTCAGCCTGGGGCTAGGCTTAACCAGAGGAGAAACTGAGTAACAGCACAGAGGGAGCCCCTTTTGTCCACCCTAGTCCCCACTCTGCTGACCCAGCATCAGCACAGCCCTGTGGGAAGAAGCCCTTGTCACTGGCTGTTTATTTCAGCCTGAAGTTTCTTTCTTTTTCTTTTTTTATAAAAACCTTTTTTCTGCTTATAAAATAATACATGCTAATCATAGAAAAGTATAGCGAAGAGCAGATTCACCACTACCACCACCACTCAAAGATAATCGTTACTGGCATTTTGATGGCATTCCTTTCTTCTGTGCATAATATGTTACAGAATTAAGAACCCAGTGCATATTTGATTTGTATTGGCTTTTTTCACATACATTCTATGCATTTTCCTGTGTCATTAACTCTTCATAAACATGTAGAATGGTTGCCTGATACACTATCATAAGATCTTTTTAAACTAGTGACTATTGGTCATTTAAGTTGTTTCCAAAAGTTTTGCTTCTTCCTGTTTTTTTTCTTTTTTTTTAAGACAGAGTCTCACTCTGTTGCCCAGGCTGCAGTCTGGAGTGCAATGGCGCAATCTCGGCTCGCTGCAACCTCTGCCTCTCGGGTTCAAGAGATTCTCCTGCCTCAGCCTCCTGAGTAGCTGGTATTACAGGAGCCCGCCACCATGCCCAGCTAATTTTTGTATTTTTAGTAGAGATGGGTTTCACCATGTTGGTCAGGCTGGTCTCGAACTCCAGACCTCATGATCTGCCCAAGTTGGCCTCTGAAAGTGCTGGGATTACAGGCGTGAGCCCAGCCAAACATTTTGCTTTTATAATAATGCTATGAGGGTCATCATTGTATAAAATACTTTACTACATTTCAAGTCACTGCCATGAGTGGAATCACTGAGTCAAAATGTAAGAAATAAAAGGCAGCCAGGCACAGTGGCTCACACTTGTAACCCCAGCACTTTGGGAGGTCAAGGCCAGTGCATTGCTTGAGCTCTGGAGTTTGAGACCAGGCTGGGCAACATGGCAAAACCTTGTTTCTACAAAAAATTAAAAAATCAGGCTGGGCGTGGTGGCTCACACTTGTAATCCCAGCACTTTGGGAGGCTGAGGCGAGTGGATCACCTGAAGTCAGGAGTTTGAGACCAGCCTGGCCAACATGATGAAACCCCATCTGTACTAAAAGTACAAAACTTAGCCGGGCCTGGTGGCGGATGCCTGTAGTCCCAGCTACTCAGCAGGCTAAGGTGGAAGAATCGCTTGAACCCAGGAGATGAAGGTTGCAGTGAGCCGAGATTGTGCCACTGCACTACTGCCTGGGCAACAGAGTGAGACCCTGTCTCAAAAAAAAAAATTAGGTGTGGTGGTGCTACTCAGGAGGCTGGGGCGGAAGGACTGAGTAAGCCTGGGAGGCAAGGTTGCAGTGAGCTGAGATCCTGCCATTGCACTCCAGCCTGGATGACACTCTGTCTCAAAAAAAGAAATGAAAGGCTCCCAAATTGCCAAAATAACTGCCCCCAACCCCCTGCCCATGTGCAAGCCGCAGGAGAATGCCACTCTGACAGTGCCTGCGGCGGATCTCATTTTACACATTGAGGATCTCATTTTACATATTAAGGATCTCGTTTTACACATCTGTTCTAACTTTATGACTCCAAAATATCCTCACATTTTGCAGCTATTTCAATTCACATCCTTTTGTGATTATCGGAGATGAGCAGTTTTTCTCAAGGTTGAGTTGCCAGTTGCATTTTAAATTTCAGTTTTAATTGGGGTTGTCAGGGTGCTACCCTGGGCCTTACCAAGGGACCGTGACTGGGGGTAGCAGGAGCCTATGAGCACCAGCATACCCTGGTCCAGGAACTTCTAGGGCCACTGGCGGATGGGCAAGGATTCCCTGGAAGCACCTGGCCACACTGACCTGACCCGGACCACATTCAAGACCCTGAGCTGGCAGCTGTCCGAACTTGGGAATGAACGATCAGGAATACTGTCCCACTGACTTTTCTTGGTTCCAGGTTAAAAGGCACTCCCCACCAGACACGGTGGCTCACGCCTGTAATCCCAGTACGTTGGGAGGCTGAGGCAGGCGGATTATAGGGTCAGGAGTTCGAGACCAACCTGACCAACATGGTGAAACCCCATCTCTATTGAAAATACAAAAATTAGCCAGGCTTGGTGGTGTGCGCCTGTAATCCCAGCTACTCAGGAGGCTGAAGCTGGAGTATCACTTGAACCTGGGAGGCGGAGGTTGCAGTGAGCCGAGATCACGCCACTGCACTCCAGCCTGGGCAACAGAGCAAGACTCTGCCTCAAAAAAAANAAAAAAAAAAAAAAAAAAAAAAAAAAAGGCACTCCCCAAGGCTCAAGTGAAACACATCCTCAGCGTGTTGGACTCGTTTGTACCACTCAGAAGGGCTTGGCTGGCAGGAAACCAGGCCTGGTTGGCACAGAAAGTTCTACCCAGGGCTCCCTTATGTGTGCACGTGAATTAATTTTTCTTCTTTCCCTAACTACCTTGCACTCCTTCAGTCTCCCCAGAATCCCTTCCATAAATGCACATGATTTATTCTGTTGCACCCAGAGCTGACCATGCCTTTCAAAACTTCAGAAAGATCAGGCCTAGGGGAGGAGGAAACTTCTTACTGCTCCTATTTATTTATTTATCGAGGCAGAGTCTCACTCTGTCACCCAGGATGGAGTGTGGTGGCACAGTCTTGGCTCACTGCAACTTCCATCTCCTTGGCTCAAGTGATTCTTGTGCCTCGGCCACCTGAATATCTGGGACTACATTTGCACACCGCCATGCCTGGCAAATTTTTTGTATTTTTGATGAAGACAGGGTTTCACCATGTTGGCCAGCCTGGTCTCGAACTCCTGACCTCAAGTGATCTGCCTGCCTCAACCTCCCAAAGTGCTGGGATTACAGGCATGAGCCACTGTGCCTGGCCCTTACTGCTTCTCTTAGTGGGCACAGTGGAGATCTACCCATGACCAAAGGCCCCATGAAGTCTCTGAATCCAAGGGGAGATCAGATAATACTGATGCACTGGCCCTGAGAAATCACACCACCCCCCCACACACTCAAACACACCACACACACACATACCCTACACTCACACCCACCACACACACACCACACACATGCACTCATATATACCACACAAATCACACACACACACTCATATACACCACACACACTACACACACTCATACACCACACACACATACAAACCACACACACCCCACACACACCACACATACACCCCCCACTCTCACCACACACACACCACACAACATACACACCACACAACACACTCCACACATACACACACCACACACACACACACACACACACACCACACAACACACACCAAACACATACATCAGACACCACACACACACACCACACCACACACACATACCACACAACACACAACACACACACCAAACACACACATCAGACACCACACACACCACACCACACACCCCACACATACCACACCCCACATACCCCCCCCCACACACACACTTGCATGCACAGACCCACTTCTGGACCCAAGGGTGTTCTTGGAAAGGGCAGCAAATGGCATTCAGAGGCAGCGTCTGGGTTCCTAGAGCAAAATAATGCTGTGTGCACGGACAGCCCAGCACAGCTGCCACCAGGTCAACTGAGTCTGAAAAGGCTGAGAATGAACAAGAGAGATCTCAGGGAAAAAGGGGTACAGGGAGGGGACGGAAGAAACAGGCAAGAAGGGGATGAAGGAAGAAAACTGACACCAGACGATCCCTCCCTCTCCCTCTCTCACTTGCAGGCCTTCCTGTCTTATGGGATATGCTTTTATATGCACACACTCCAATTTATAAAAACACTTAGCTGACAGAGGTATACTTGAACATAGAAGCAAAACCCCTCAAGTAAAATCACAAAGAAATTGACCAGGTGCAATGGCTCGTGTCTGTAAGCTCAGTACTTTGGGAAGCAGGGTAGGGGGATCACTTGAGCCCAGGAGTTTGAGGCCAGCCTGGGCAACATAATGAGACCCTGCCTCTACAAAAAACAAAATTAGCTGTGCATGACTGCACATGGCTGTATTCCCAGATACTTAGGAGGCAGAGGTGGGAGGATGGGTGACAAGTGCCAGCCTGTGGGTATAATGGCACTGCTGGTGGCTGGGAGCCAACCTTCCTCCTGATGTTCAGGAAACTCCCAATGCTGCTGGAACACAGTGCTGACCACATCACAAACTATGGATGGTGTGTGTGTGTGTGCAGTGGCATGAGGAGTGTCCCATCCACTCCCCCAGCACCCTAGAACAGCTTGGCAGGGCCTGCATGGGCAGCACGTGTTACAGACATACGTGGCCATGATCTGTACCTCCCCCAACACCTGCTTCTGGACACGCCCCCATAGCTCCAGCCCCTCTGCCTCTTCATAGCCATTTTCCAATGGTGGTGACTTGGGAAGTCAAACCTGGAGAAGGTGAGGGGCCCAGTGCAACTACATGGCGTTGTCTGGATTCCCCCAGTCCCCGAGACTCTCATAAGCCAGGTGTGGACCCTCCCTGCAGCTGCACGACCAGAGTGGGGGAGGAAGGAGCCCCTCACCTTCTCCAGGATTGGCTCCTTAGAAGCATATATTCCTTTTAATTTCTTTTTCTTTTCTTTTTTCTTTCTTTCTTTTTTTTTTTTTTTTAGAGATGGGAACTCTTTCTTTTGCCCAGGCTGGAGTGCAGTGGTGCAATCATGGCTCACTACAGCCTCGACCTTCCAGGCTCAAGTGATCCTCCCAACTCTGCCTCCTAAGTAGCTGGGAATATAGCCATGGTGCAGTCATGCCCAGCTAATTTTATTTTTTGTGGAGGCAGGGTCTCATTATGTTGCCCAGGCTGGCTTCAAACTCCTGGGCTCAAGTGATCCTCCTGCCCCAGCTTCCCAAAGTACTGAGCTTACAGACGTGAGCCATCGCACCTGGTCAATTTCTCTGTGATTTTACTTGAGGGGTTTTGCTTCTATGTTCAAGTATACCTCTGTCAGCTAAGTGTTTTTATAAATTGGAGTGTGTGCATATAAAAGCATATCCCATAAGCCAAGTTGCTTGTCTTAAAGTGTTCATTCATTCTGTTATTCACTCAACAAGAATTTCTCAAGTGCTACTGCTCTCCGGGCAATGTTAGTGCTTGGGATGCATCTGTGAGTAAAATGACAGACCCTGCCCTCATAGAGCTTACATTCCAGTGGGAAGAGACAGGTGGTGAACAAGAAACACAGAAGGTAATTTATGAAACTTCTAAAAAGGGAAAGAAACCCCAGCAGAGTGAGGGAGTAGGGAGTGGGCATGTGGGGGTGTGCAGGGCGGCTTTACTGACAAGGGGACATTTGAGCAAAGGTTTGACAGAGGCGACGCAGTGAGCTGCACGGATCCCTGGAGGAAGCATTCCAGGCACAAGCACAGACTGTGCAAAGGCCCTGGGGCAGTCTCTGTGGTGTGCTGGAAGGGAAACAGTGAGCGGGAGGGCCAAGGAGATAGAGTGGAGAAGGCAGCTGGGATCAGCCAAGGGGCAGACTTTGTCTCTTTATTGGTAGGTATAGATTTTGATGGTTAATGGTGAGTGGGCATGTTTCTGGAGTAGAAATGCATGTAATTCTGAACAAAGAGTATACGTGGGGGTGTGTGTACATGCATGTGTTCTGTCACTGGCTCTCAAATTGGGCTCAAATGACTGTTATCTTACATTGAGCCCCGTTGTCCGGCCCAAGCAGTTTTTACTTTAGAAACCACATGTGGGGGCAGGCGTGGTGGCTCCCTCCTGTAATCCCAGCACTTCGGGAGGCTGAAGTGGGCAGATCACCTGAGGTCAGGAGTTCAAGACCAGCCTGGCCAA